CCGTGGCACAGCTGGAGAAGGTGGAAAAGCCGGTGTCCCTTCGGAGCTGTCCTTGTCCCCAGCAGACCCGGGTCTGTCGTGAAGGCCCCAAATAAAGGATACTCGGCCGTGGCCGTGGTCCCAGGGCCGCGGAAAAGGCGCCTCGGGGAGCCGCGGACGGTGCGCGGAGTGTGAGTGGGACCGTCCGGGCCGCGCTCCGCGCCAGCGTAGCCTGGCACCTCGTGGCACGTTTTGAGTTCGAGCTGAACTTCTGAACGATCGCTTTGCTTTTAGAGCAGGAGGGGAAAAATGGTTTTTTTTTTCCCTCTTCCTTTACTTTTAATTTATTCGAGGGATCATTCCTTTCTGGTGGTTTCCTATGTATATTTGCTCACCCATCAGTTCAAGACCTGGAATGTCACTAAGCAGAAGAGAAATATTCTCCCTTCTGTTGAAGCTTCAGGATTTCTCGTTTTAAAGCGAGTAGCGGTTAATATATGTTCTGCAAAGGCTTTTACCCCAAACAGAGGAGCAACGAGTGCAAGTAGCTCGGGTGTCAGAAAGCAAAATCCACAGAGGGAGTCAGAGGGAAAACAGGGTGCAGTTACTCGTGCGAATTGCGAAACCGGGAGCCCTTACTGAACGTCCCCCGTGTGCGGGAAAGTGCTGCGTTATTTCCCTAACGGGACTCCCACCCGTGGGGCTACTGGTGGCCCCGGGGGCGCGTCGTCCTTCTCCTGCCTTCGTCTCGCCCCCGACGGGCGGCTGGACCCGCTCGGGGCAGGTTTTGCTGCCGCTTTGCGGGAGCAGTTTGGTGCGAGAGGGCAGCGCGCCCCGAAGGGGAACGCGCGCAGGATGGGGGGTGATGGCGAGCGGGAGCTAATGATGTAAGCGCGGACTGTATGACGTTTTTATTACGCACTGATTGCGCGTGGCGCGTGCATGGCTCGGCGGCGCGCAGGCGGGGAACGGGGATTGAACGGGGCTCTTCCTTCACCTCCCCCAGGAATCGCTGGTGTGAAGAGCAGCCGCTAATTGAAAACCAGCTATTAATCGATTTCATATATAATTTAATTTAAGACCTCGGCTATTTTTTTTCTTTCCCCATCCCTCCAAGTTCCCTGTGTGTCGAAGCCAGGGATGCTAAATGGCCTTGGGCGTTTGAAGATGCGCCTCTTTTCCGCGGGGCGCAGGGGCTGCTCTTGAGCAGGGAGGCTGCCCTGGGGCGTGGGCATCGCGCGGGCCGGTGGGCGCGCAGGGCGAGCTCAGTTTTGCGCGAAAATTTGCCCAGACTCCCCATCCACAGAGCGGAGGCCACCGAGGCGCAGGGAAGTTCCTGGGCGCTCTCCAAGGATGTGCCCGGGCTTCGCTCTGCCCGTGCCTCGCACACAAGCTCACGAGCTGGGAGGATCCCACATGACCTTCCTGTGCGGGTTTTGTTTTTCATACACGTATATTTTATTTTGCCTCGCCTCCCAGGCGGCTTGTGTGCACTGTCCGTGCGCCCCGAAGGTGGTGCGGGGCCGCCATGGACGCAGCCCTCCTGCTTTCATTGCGCCGAGGCTCATAAAGCCATTCGCTCCTTTCCCAAGTAATAAACAAACGTCGCGTTAGGTCAAGATTGATGGTGTCCATGCAATAAAAACGGGCCAGGTCAGGAAGGAATAAAATTCAATCAGAGCTCGCGGAATCATTTTTCAGGGGACAGGGAGACAGAAAAGGAGACGGGGGTCAAGGGAGACGATGTGGCCGTTCCCCGGGCGGGGG